TGGGAACCAGGGACTGGGTTTCTCTGCCACAAGACTCAGCGCTTTCTCTGCTAACATAAAGTGCTGCTGAAGCACCACAGGCCACCAAAATCCCACCTAAGCAGGTCCCTTGTCCCATCTGGCAAACCTTCATCTTTAATCCCAGGGAGGGGGCTCTTGAAAAATGAAAATGAGCTCTTACCTTCTCACCGAAAACACCCCAGCAACACTCACACCTGTCCATACCTCATGTCCAACTATTTCCAAAGGACAAAGACTCTGCCCAGAAGTGCCAGCCATCCTTCCCTTCCCAGGTTCCCTGTAGGATCCCACCCAAGGACATCACAGCTGTGGGCACGGCAGAAAACACACAGCATGCAGTGAGGTGCAGAGCCACAGCCCCCAGTCCAGCTCCATGCCTTAGGAGCTGTGGAACAAACTCACCAGCAGGCAGTAAGGAAATGAGGTGGATTAGTGCCAACTCTTACTCTTTAATTGCAGATATATTCTGTTGGTCACAGTCTCAGGAAAGCACAAGTTCCCCTTTCCTAAAATACATTTCTCTGTTTGTAACTCTTTCAAAGAGCTTGCCAGTGGAGTTTCTTGCATGAAGAGCACTTCTTTAGTTCTTCCAGGTTCTTGGGTAGAGACATAAGCTTGCCAAAGGGAATTTATACCAAATTCAGTAATTTTTGCTGCTCTTAACTATCTAATGGGAAGGCTGCAGACATGTAACTCCTAAGTCAGTGACAATTTGGATTAAAATTGTAACAGAGACGCCCACCTACACTCTTCAGCCTCTCTCTTTGATAGAATATCTGTACAGACCCAGAGGAAGCAAGCTTAGATATGGGAGATGATCCTGCTGTTTGAATTCCCATCTCTGATCAGCATTCAGGTCTCACCTGTTAGGAGGATTGTTCATCTCACACCCATGCTGGGTTTCTGGGCCCGGTAACAGAACAAAGTGAACTCATTTGCTGGCCATAGAGTAGAGATGTGCACAATGCCCATCCTGAATTCCTGTACAGCTGAGTTTATGCCATGTCACCTTATTGTAGGCTCTTCACACCTTCCTTTGAAATCTTGGTGACTGTTCTCAAACATGAGACTCATCTCACATGAAATAGACCTTATGGTGAATACCTGCTTTGCAGGAACCTTTATAACGACAACTAAGTGTTTAAAATCCACTACCTTCAGTTCTCCTGAAGCACCTCAGCTCTGTTTGCCCACGGACCTTCCCCATGGTAGTTCAGTATTTGTGGTGTGTGTTGTCCACCCCAGAGTTACCTGCCTTAGGGAGAGCAGTGAATTAAGGTAGTGGAAGGGAAAGTTAAGGGATTTAGCTGGGGGAATCAGTTCTTTTCTGCTCTTATTTTAAAGAGAGGCTTTCTCTACCTCTGCCTGTCAGTTTATCCTCCTGACTCTGTTGAGCAGAGACTGCTGCCTGCAGAAAAGCATCTCTGCAGTGCACAGCCCTGCCTTGGCTTGGACTGGAAGTTACAGCTGCTGCTGTCATAAAGTAATAACCAGTATTAATCACTGTCAGTCTGGTTATATGAATGTCTTCCCTTTGGCTGAATAATCCATCTGTATGCACCTCCCAGCCTTCCACACCACAGAGGTGCCAGTTGATTACTCAGTGTGGATAATTACCTGAGCACCCTGCAGGACTGTGACAGAGTATTGATGGTCTCAGAGTGGTGCTATCAGGGTGCTCTCGGGCACAATTCATCCTGTCCATCTGAAATGAGCCACCTTAGGAGCTGGAAATCCCTAAGGGGGAATCAGACCTTTGAAGTTCCCTTGGGACAGCCTCTGGGTGCCCCTTTCCAGAGCTCCAGGCCCTGGGGAAACACAGGGCTGCCCTCAAGGGCGTTCTTGTGTTGGCACATAACCCACGTACCTATGCAAAGGAAGAAGCTGAGCTACAGCACAAAGGCATTTTGCATCTGGAGGACGTGTTCTCAATGCAGCAAAACATCTTTGTTATGAATGTAACATATGTGGTACTCTTCCTCTGTTTGGCAGGAGATAAGAAAAACAGAAGCAATGCAAAAATGAAAACAAAATGGAGCACATAAGCATCGTGAAACAATTACAATGCTGCATCTCATTAGGATCTAAATCTGGGATTGCCAGTCTTGTTTTAAAACCAGTTTTGTTCAACACCCAGTGACAGAATTTAAAAGCTGACATATCTTGCTGTATTGTGGGCTGCAGTCACAGCTGGTGTAAATCAGTATAAACTAATGAAGTCAATGGAGCTTCTCTGATTTACACTAGCTGAGGTTATGGCTCAATAAGGTTAGGCTTGCTTTCTAGGAGTGTTCAAGGAAGCCAACTTCTGTGTGTCCTGTGATGAAGTGGTTATTTATAATGGCCTTCAGTGTGGTTTGGAGCCAAATTTCCACATCAAAAGTAGCTTTATAAGAGATATCCTTACAGTGAGGTTCAGTGCAAAATCATGACTTCAGAAGCCAGCTTTCCTCATGCACTCAAGTATTTGATTTCAGCCTGAAAACCATTTGAGAAGCCAAGAAAAGCAGAGCCATTCCTGCCTACTTCCCCAGCTCTGCTTCATCTTTGAGTTGCCTGCATATCCAGCAGGCCCCGACCTACACTGCCCATTTATCAAGGCGAGTTACTCTAAGTGTCTGTTTATTTATGTTCAGAAATTCCCAGTAAGACAGACAAGTTTCATGCTCAACCTGAAAAATTGGGGAATGGAGGTGGAGTCCTTACCAGTTCCAGAGCTATTTGTTTGACTTGGCCACTAGTGCAAATAAAACACAATAACGTGTTCCCGAGTCACAGCGAGAGGTGGAGGTCACAAGAAAACAGATCATGTCTTTCACAGCTCCTCAGCTTCAGTGCACTGAATTATGACTCCTATTATTTACTTACTGGATTCTCCACCCTATGTGCACGCTCCAAACATTCGAAAAGCAGCAGGTCTCTGCTTCAAAGGACTGACAGGCAAGTGAGAGAGAGGAAAATCTGTCCTGAAGCTGCAGTAACCTTCTCCTCCTCCTCAGCTTGATCTGAAAGGTCAGATGTTCCCACAGCCCTCAGCTGACTCCTGCCATCTGCTGAGCCAGCCCACAGTCCTGTGCTCTCCTCTGCTGAGTTAAACTGCCAGACTCTCATGGCAAAGATGTTCCCAGCACAGCCAAACCTGCTCAAGGTGGGCTTTTCCAGAAGGATACTGGTTTTTTTCCTAGGAGAATCCTACTTCCTGCATCTCCAGCCTTGATGTGATCAGCTGTCCAGAAAACATCACGGGCTCTTTCACTGACCTCACCACTTTGAAACAGGTTGATTTCTTTAGAACTTAGTGCTAAAAATGCATGTCTTTATCTCCATTGTCAAGATCCCAAAATGGGGCTGAAGCCTCTCCAAACCTCCCAAGTGGTTTCTGCATATCCTGTGGAGAATGCTGCCCTCTCCTACACACTCTTCAGTGGGTTTAATCCTGTAGGAGCTCACTGGAGACAACTTTGTGGCAATGCTTCCAATAAGGGAAACTTCTGAACTGCCAGCAGCAGAGAACTCCACACACATGCTGAACATGAAACACCAGGATGTAAGGGCCTGCCTCACATCTGAACCTCATGGGAAGTACCACTTTCTCCTGAAAAGCACAGGATCATCCTCCTCCTTCATACACCCAGGTTTTGTTTTTGGTCTCTTCTCTCATCACACAACATGTGATAAATATTTTCGTATTAAGAGCGGCAATCTCCTTTTCCAGGGAATGTTCCTGGTCCATCTTGGGAGGTGGTTAGAGAGCCCCACTCAGCCACTGATCATTCACCAGCCTCCCAAACCAGTTGGGATTTTTCTCAGTACTCAGCTGAGTGCTGTCTTCCTGGGTACTGAAATATCACTCACTGATCTCCCCTTATTAGGTTTTTTCTATGTAGATAATTTTCCTTTGTATTTGTGACTTAATATGGAGCCTAAGTGAAGCCAGAAAATCATTTCGCTGTTTAACCCACCATGTTTGTTATTTGACATTTGGCTAGGCAGTTACACTAAAGCATCATAAATGCAAAACACTTCTGCTCCCCTCTACTTCTGTGCCTTCATATAAGGACTACGACTAATTGTTCCTGAAAGTTTGTTGTGTTCATTTGTTACTTAAGACAAATAATTTTCTACTTACCTCTTTCACAAAGACCTGGGTTTTTTTGTTACATTACTTACATTCTCTTCAGAAACACTCTCACAAACCATAGAAAGATCTACTATCACCTGTGTGCTCTGGTCTTCTCTCAGCTTCTCCAGATGAAGCAAGTGTGGAGATAGATTTTTTTCCTTAGCCTGGACATTGTTCAGTTTTTAAAATGGTTGAGGGCACTCAGTCTTTCTGCTTTTTAACCCAAACCAAGCAGAATTCCTGCCTTTTTTTTAAATTTAATAATTTCAAAAAGTAGTTGTGTTTGGCTGTCTTAAGATCAAAAGAAATTCTCTTCACTCTGGGGTATTTTAAAAAGAGAATTCTACCAGACAAATGAATTTACTTTCTGTTAACAGTCTCACAGCCTTTAAGTATTTGGCTCTAATTTTGGTTTTTAATGCTTGTCTAGTCTTACTAGGGTTGAACTGGAAGGCAGTCAGACGATTCTCAGATAACAGGCAGGAAAAAACAATGTAAACCCCTTATCCCAGAGGAACCAGAACCAGTGAATTACGCACAAGTAACAAAACCGGTTTCCTCGCCATCAGAACTTCTACTGAACCACAGAGTTTCAGAACTTTCCTCGAATCTGGCTGGGGCAAAGACAGGAAACTGCATCTTCTGAGCTTTAGAAATAGATCTTAAACATGTAAACATAAGATATTATGCCCCTGTCTTTTAAGTAACATTTATATTATCTCAAATAAACAGTCTTGCCGAAGTTAGTCTGTAATTGACATCTGACACAGTCCACATTGCAACAGATATGATAAGTGCAGTAAACAGCAGAAATTATGTTTCTCTGTTCTCTCAGAAACATTCATATTTCCTTGCACAGATAAACTTTATTTTGTTGCTACGCAACTCTCACACAACAGACCATATTCTGCAGTAAATAAGAGTACAGATTTTACAACTGGAGGGCAAGCATGTGGCCTTTTGGGTTTTCTCCCCATTTCAAGTTCCAGCCCCAGCTTTAGTTCCCATTATAATATTCCATCATTTCATTACAAAGCTGCCTCCAAAGCTCAGTAAGGGATATTTCAAACCGAGCAAAGCGGGAGAGTCAGAATGCACGAGGCTGATGGGAAACAAATGGTGGAGCTGGTGATGTCAGTGAAACCATGAAATTAAGGGGTTTTTATCTTTTTTGGTCTTCTTTAAAAATTAATATTAAATTTTCATAGCAAGAGATTCAAAACCTGTGTAGCCTTTCCCTGCTCCCTGTAAAACTGCCACACCTGCAAGGGAGGTGAGACAGGTGAAGAGCTAGCCTTGGTTTTACCTAAGATGAGAACAGTATAGTCTTACCTGCTTTATTCTTTACAGTTGCAAAATTTCTCCTGAATTCAGTGGATATTTGGGTTGTTCAGAGAACAGAGGCACAGATCCTGCACGATCCCATCATGAGCAGAGTGAAGAACACCAAGATTTATCTGACTTAAGGGTGTGCATGGAAACTCAACAGAGCCACTAGGCCCTTCCCAAGTCATGGGTTAATGCCTCAATTATTCCAGTTTTCCTTTTGCACATGGATGCAAATTCTACAAACTCTCCCAGGCAGCATCAGCCTTCCCTTGCCACTATGGGCAAATTAGTCCAGGTGAAAAATGTGACTCGGAGCTCCAGGTGGATGCAGCTGGCACAGTTTGGGCTAGAGGGATTTGCAGTAGCCAAGGATTTGATGTGCATCCAATGCACGAATGTAACAGCTGTCTGATTGCAGAGGGGCTTGTGCCACCATAGAGGCTGGATTTCCCCAGTTTTCCCCAGTTTTGCTTTGCTCTTTGGTTCCTTACAACAAAGAGTCCTCTGGGCTCCTACAGCCTACGTGCCACAAGCCCAGATGCTTATAAAGTCACTAGGGAAAGGACATTCTGTTCATTGGAAAGCAAGATTTAATCTCTACAATCTACAGTCTAGTTTCTCTAAACAGTGAGCAAGAAGCATCTTTTGCATTTTAAATTTCAGCATTTCTGTTTATAGTTTCACTTTAACAGCTAAATTACTCCCAGGCATGGAAATTAATTATCAGCATTTGTTGCAAAACACCTTGAAGTTTCTATGCTGGTCTTGTATAAAGGCCCATCTCTAATCACACCTCCCAGTGTAGCAGCTTTCCTTAAGAGCCTGAGAGATTTGAAAGCACCTATAAAATTTGCTTTGAGTTCTTTCTTCAACAAGTGATTTCCTACAGAGCAGAGCATTCCCTCAGTCAGGATTGCAGGAGGAGGCCCACAGAGGGAATGCAGTTGGATTTTGTCTGGAAGCACAACAGGCAACGCACAAGGCAAGAGTCTTCAGACCTAAATCTTGGAAAACAATCCTTGATGTCTTCGGATCAGTGTCCTGCCAATTTCTTCTACTCTCCGGCATCCTGGAGGAGAAGTTGCAGATCAGTTCAAGCCCCTGATTTTCCAACCCACTCTAAGCCTTTTCTTTTTCTGCCTCATAAAAATCTCCATTCTGTCAGATGAAATCCACCCCTCAGCGACCAAAGATTTGCCACTACTTTTCTATGGATTTATTGGTCTTCTTGTGGAAAAAAAAAAAAAAACCCAAAATAATGTTTTCACCTAATCTACTCAGTTTCCCATTTATAAGGCAGGGATAACAAGTCTTTTTCCCATTTCTCCACAGACTAACCTGTTTAGATTGCAAACATTCCCCTCATGCAAGTTGCTATAGCATCTTGCCTGGGGCAAATGAGAAAACGTGATTACGGAGAGGAAATGTCAATGTCCCACCTGTCAGTGCCATTGCCAGGCGAAACTCTTCCTTCAGCATCTGGAGAACTTCTTTTACTCCTTCTTCACCCTGGGAGATTAGGAGACAATGTGAACTATTGTGTGCACATTTATGTGTGTAGACATAGACATGTATACATGTGCCAAGAAAGGTTTTCTGCACAAACATAAATCCTGAGGGTTGGTCACAGCAAACAGCAAATCAGAAGATCTGGATGCACACAGATGCATCACACACACACACTCTCCTCTGGGCACACAGACACATGCATGTGCATTTTAAAAGGCTGAGCAGTGAGTCTAGGGATCTGAAGTCATGCATTTGAGCTTTCCCTCACTTACTTGATAAGCCAGTCCCCAGAGGACAGGTCTCCCAACGAAAACAGCTTTGGCACCAAGAGCCAGTGCCTTGAGAACGTCCGTGCCTTTTCTCACCCCACCATCCAGGAACACCTCCACCTTCCCCTCCACAGCCTCCACGATTTCAGGCAAGACATCAATCTAGGAGAGAGAAACCAGGAACACAGCTTGGCTGCTCCTGAAACCCTATTTATTTTTTGAGCCCGTTCTTACACATAGGATCCAAGCTTTACAGCAGCTTAATGAGCAGTTGCATGCCTAAATATATACACCCAAATAACACAGCTTTGTACTGAGAACCAGCAGTGACTTTGCAGGGTAGAAGGTACATACAAAGGTCAGATTTATTTGGAGAGTCACATAAACAGAATGAGAATCAGCAGGGTCTCACAAAATGACCATCTGACCCCATGACACATATCTGACACAAGCCAGTATCTGATTCTTATGCAGAATATATCAAACAGCAGCACTAAGGAAGCCTTTTCATGGTGTTACCTCCCAAACTTCCAGTCTTCACTAGTTAGGGGATGAAATTGGATCAGCTCACTTTTTAAATAATCACCTTTGCTTCCCTGTTTAAATTTCCCATTCATTTATCCTGAGGGCCAGCTCAGGAGCCCAGAGGCAGGCACTGTACCTACAGACAAGGAGTGAGAAAAACACATGCCTGGAAGAACTTAGAGTTGGCTGAAAATTTTTAATTAATGCATTTTCCCTTTTGAAAATGCATCTAATTACAGGAATGACTATAGAGAAAACTTCTTAATGTGAGATAAAAATAACTTTCCTCTAAGTTTTGAGCAAGGTGGGAAGTAATTTCTTTTAATGCACATGTATGTTGCTTCCACTGAGCTCTGCTCATCCCCTTTCTCAGCTTATCCCCTACACCAGTGATACAAATAAGAGGGGGAGATATTTTTACTGTTCTCAAGTAACAAGTGTGTAACCAGGGAATTAAGCAATTCTTCTTGCCATGCAAGAGGTCCCAATGAAAGGATGAGCCTCCTGAATTCAAGCCTAGAGCATTAATTACAGGGCAAATTTTCCTACAAGGCCACCTAAATAGTTCCTATTCATGAAAATCAGGAAAGGAACTCCACCAGAAGCCAAGTATTAAGGAGACTGGAAACAGTGTGTGGAAGTAAGACAAAAGACACACAAATTCACATCTTTCAAATACGGATGTAATTCATTTCCTTTCTAATGGATAAAAATGACGAGAAGATGGGGGGAAAAAACTTGAAAGTGCACTTTGTTTTTAGATTTGGATTAAAATTTTCTTGAAGTTTGGCACTTGCTGTGATTTTCCCCCTCCCTTTGGTTTTGCTCTCTTGCCAGACATATTTTGGATCTATTTCCATATCCAGAGACCACTTTCTACATCCTGACAAACCGTACCAACATTAAAGTGCTCTAATAACTAAAGCATGATGCAAACCGTAATTAAAACATCGATTTCCTCAACGTGTAACTAGACACTAGAAATATTGACCAGCTTGGGTTCAGCTCACCATCTGAAACCCCACGAAACTGAAGCAAATTATTATGTTTCTAAATCAGAACCATTTAACATGACCTGATACAGATTCTTTATAAAAACAGGCATTGTGAAGTAGTGTTCTTTGTACCATAAACCCAGGGAACACACCAGATTTAGCAGCTCTCCTCTGCCCTGTGGTGTGGCAAAGGAGTAACTCCTAACAAGGAGTTTGCAAATTTCTCTTCTGCTGCGGCTGTCAAAAATTAATTTGTATTTCTCGAGCTCTCAAGGGTTCCTCAAAATGATGTTTTTAACAACCTTATACATTGTTGCTGTTGGATTACCTCACACGCAGGCTTGTCCAAGAGTTTCAAATACTCCCAGTGAAATTGGGGAATACTTTCCCAGGAGGTGACAAGAGGACCTGTTCCCCTCTCCCTTCAGGGAACCATCATGGAGAACAGGAGGTTTTTCATCAAGAACATATTGGAAATACTCTGAGAGGCACAACTGGGCTTTGATTCCCCTCCCTTTCATTCTCTTTTTATTTGTGCAGCTTTCCCACACCAAATGAAGCAAGATGAGTGATGACTGGAATTTTGGGGTTTTTCCTTCATCCTGAGCACATACTTTTTCATTTTCCTTTACTTCTTTCTTTTTTGCCGACGGAGAAATTCTCAAATCCCTTTCACCTTTGGAAAAGTCATGGGGTAGCACGACAAGGAAAAGGAAAAACTGTAATTTAACCACTCTCTCCCTTTTCCAAAGGTGAAAATACTTGAAAAGAGAAAAATGGAGAGTTTCATTCTGCCTTTAGCTGTTCCTTAACTGCAATTTTTCAGAAGCCTCCAAAGAATATTAAAAGAGGAAAAACGACCCTAATACAACCTTCAGTGTGCTGCAAATGGCAACGAGGGTTTTTCAAAAATGAATGAAAAGAGAGACGTGGAAGAGGAGAGTGGAAGAAAAATTCTGAAAGATTTTCCAATTTGATCTAGCAAAGAAAGGCTGTGTCTAACTCAGAGTATGATGTGACATACATAGAGAAGTGGAGAGAGGTTATTACTATGGCTCAAGGCATAGAACACTTTCTAGGTTTTTCCTCTAGCTTCCACATGTTCAGAGAAAGCAAACAAGAAGCCAAAAAGGCAGAGAAAATTAGAGATTACTGGAGCATATTGGCATCAGTACTCACTGTAGCAGGGACCCCATCAAGCTGTCGTGCTCCATGATTTGACACCAGGATCCCGTTTACCCCAAGCTTTACAGCTTCTTTGGCATCATCAGCTAGGAAAAAACCCAAACAGGATGTCTCCTTCCATAAGTGGGAGCTTGTACACACCACAATCAGGGAATCACTGAGAAAACCATTGTCAGCTCATGCAAAGCCACCTTAGGGCTTCATCCTTCCAAAGCCTCGCCTCAACACAGAAAAAGGTTTTATCTTTAAGTAATAAGACCAGAAAATTAGCTTGAAATGTTGGAGCAGAACATTTTATCCCTTTGGATCAGCAGCCAACTTGGTTGCTAGCCCTTATTTTCTCTATTATGTTCCAGAACTCATCAGTAAGAAATTCTTTTGCTGAATGATTTTGTCCACTGCAAAATTACTGGCATGATGGTGTTAATGGTGGCGTTGGTGACAACACCCGGCACTTCTTTAAGCACCTGCTCCCACAGACACCTTCCCTGGCGGGCTCCTGATGGTGCAGGAGAAGGGACAGCGTTCCCCCTGCCCTCCCCTGGGAAGGAGCAGGGCTACCCACCCCTGAGGATCCCTTTCAGCACGATGGGCAGCGAGGTCAGCCCCCGCAGCCACTTGACGTCCTCCCAGCTGACGGTGGCATCGATGGCCTCAGCGACGTACACAGCCAGCCCGCTGTCGTCTCCAAAGTCCTTCCCCGAGGAAAATGCCAGCTCACTGCTCGAGAAGTTCTTTAAACTAAGGTGACAAAAGACACAGAAGAACAGTGTGAGGAGGATTTGCTGTAGTCACAATGGGTCCCGAATGCCAGCATTCAATATGGCTGAGTTACAGCTTTGCTGCACTGCAGGGCACGAGCAAAACCAGCCGGTCCCAGCAAGTCAGACCCCACTCCTCAGTGAGCCAAAACCTCTGGCTGACAAAGCATTTGATAATCAACACAAGCACTGATCTTTAATGTCCCATCCAACCCAAGCCTTTCTATTGTCCTGTGATGGTTTTGTGATAAATCTGGGGCGAGTTTCTCTGGCCCAAGTCTGACTTCTATAGCAAAATAAATAGGGTTGAGTTTTGTTTTTCGAATCCAGGGAATTCAGCTATGAGAAGAATAGGGGATCAGGGAGGAAATAAAGTTTTCTTAAGGTCCATGAAACAGATGGATGTCCATGAAGCCTTGCAAAGAATTCAGAATTTTCATCTGTCCAATAAGGCCAACAAGCCAGCCTGTTTACCTTGTGTCCCTTTTGTACATTTCCTTGTAAAATATAGGGCTGAAAAGGAAGCTCATGTGAAAACATTGTTGTTACTTGGGTTTTTCAGCAACAAAATCTCACAGGTTCCAGCACATCCACGTCCCAGTTGCCCTGCTCTTCTGAAACTGTGTCCTGTTCCACATTGGGCTATTTAATACTCACATTTCACATTTTGGGAAGTGCATGAGTGTTTTTGCGTGGAACCTGGCTGGTTTCACTGCTGATTTCATGCCTGCAACAAGCAGCATTTCACATGGCTTTTCTGTTCAGCTCCAGGCCCAGAAGCAAATGAGAAAGGAGCAGGCTCTCAGCAAGATCCAGCTTTTCAGCTGTTGGTTTGTGGAGGGTGGGGTGCCCAGAGAAAAACAGAACCATGGATAAGATTATATAAATAACTGTTGTTTTTCTTGGCCTGCAAAATGCAGATCAACACTTGGATGAATGTTGCCTTACATACATTTCAGAGCACAATGGCACCTTGTTGTTGCTTTGAAACTTTGTTGAAAACCCGAAGCCAAGAAAAAGTTATCACATAAATGAGCAGAGCCCCGCGCTAGGAGAGTTTCACCGCGGCCTCTGCAACAAAGCACGGCCCGAGCAGCACTCGGGAATCTGCAGTGATTAATTGGAACCTTTAAGGATTACTCCAATTTCTCGTGATTTCATCCTGTTCACTCGAAACCTTGTTGTATTTGGGCAAATATAACAAATACATTTGGGGTGGGGTCAAAGTGCAGCAGAAACGCTCTCCCGCTTTTCTCAAAGGTCTTTGGGTTCTTGGCCTTGTATTCAAGAACTCCTCAACCCCAGGCCTTAAAATTCTATTGCCCCTAAAAAGTAAGCTATTTTAACAATTGCTTAATTTTATCTTTTTTTAAAGGTCAGTGTATATTGATAATGTGTCAAACACAGATCTCTAGCACGATTACAACATAGGGCACACACATACCAGTGTGGTACATTTTCATGTTAGGTGCATTAGGGCTTTTTTGCTTTCTGGTGCTTTCCTCCTAAAACTGTACTTTAACAGAGAAATGACAGCAGAATTCAGGTTCCTCTGTCAGCTTTCCTCTCTTAGCTGAAAGTACAAGTGCACAGGGGAGAGCCAGCACCCAAGCTCTGGAGGGGTTTGTGTCAGCAAGGTAGAGAATCAGATTCCCTGCAGAGCCCCATGGCTTATCCTCCTTTTGAACAGTATGGAAATGAAGAAAAACCTCTTGATGTGAGATTCTTGCTAAGTACACATTACTTACAATGTGTGCACTGTATAACACAGCAGTCTTCAGAGACATAGGAAGAACAATTCAATTTCATTGATAATATTCAAAACTAGCTTTCACCCAGAACTCACCTCAAAGTTTATCTGCTTCAAAATACATTAAGCTGTCTTTTTTTCTCTGTCTATTTTTATGTTCATTTGCATGCTCTAAATAATTCTAACATGTGCCATGTAGACTGTGGTTGTTACCAAGATCTACATGCAAGAACCTTGCAAGAATTTTAGCTTGAAGTCCTGGATATCCCATCAAGTAAATATTCCTCCAGCCAGTCCTTGGCTGCTAGAACTGTGCCAGCACTTCAGCATGTGTTTATCAGGGGAGTCTCTACAGTTTATCAATTCATATTTACAAAAGGCCAGGCAAATCAATACCCTTAAACATCATTGTAAGGTTAAAATTCTGGTTTAACTCTGTTGAAATTGAATTCCTCATTGGCCCTGCAGTGGGGAGGAAATAGAGTTAGTGCTGAAGTCAATCGTGATGTCACAAATTCTGAGACATAGAAAACGTCCCAAAACACACTGTGGGGTAACAGTTGCCTTCACACAGAATTTAGGAAGACTGATACCTATATGTTTCTGTATTGGAGTAAAAGAAGAGAAAGACTGATACCCATGCATTTCTGTATTGGAGTAAAAGAAGAGCTGAAGTTGCTCGAAAAGGGGCTCTGCAGTTGGTAGTAACATGGCCCTGGACCCAGAGCAGTCATGGGACAACAGAAGGAACCATAGCATCTTTTGGAAGGGAGTTTTGGCCACAAAGTCCAGACCCTTTTGGATCCCAGCTCAACATCACAGCAGGTCACTCCAGGCTCTGCCCAGCTGAGGTTTGAAGACAGCCAAGAACCCATTGACACAAGCACACAGAAACACCCCACGTCTCTTACTTCAGCAGCCTGCAGCCTCACCCTGCACCTTTCCCAGCTTGCAGAGAGCCAGGAAAGCTTTGTTTCGACCCAGAGCAGATGCCAGCCCGGCGGACACACCAGAGCTCCACAGAGCCGTTCCCCAGCGCCATCCTCTCCCGCAGCAGCCCGCGGCGGCCGCTGGCCCTGTCCCACGGCCGGCAGCAGCGGTACCTGAGGTGCGGGGGCAGCTGGAACCTGTTGCGCACGTCGGCGAGGCGCCGGCCCAGGTACGGCGTGTCCACGGTGAGGAAGATGCCCCGGTAGCCGGCTCTCTCGGCGCGCCGCACCAGCGAGGCCGTCACCTGCCGCTCCTTGTAGGCGTAGAGCTGCAGCCAGCGCAGGCCGGACGGCGCTGCCGCCGCCACCTCCTCGATGGACGAGGTGGCCCAGGAGCTCAGCATCATCCCTGTCCCCACGGCCTGGCAGGCTGCAGGAAGGGAGAGAGAGTCTCTAAAGCAGCAGCATTCCAATACATGCGTTTAAGGCTTCCACGTTTTTGGATGTTGCCACGTTACCTCCCCAAAATCGCCCTCCGCGCCGGCTAACCTCATACAGATGTGTTTTCACGAAACTATCACTTATTCTTTTTGGAGTAATCTGTCACTTATTGTAAAATAAAGGAAAAATGCGCTGTAGAACTCAGAAATATTATAGAAAGCCTTGTTTTCCTTGGTCTACCACAGTATGCATATTTTTAATGTAAATGGACCTCTGTTTCAAGACGTCATCCCCAGCCCATGGAGGAATTAAAAAGTGGTCTTTATGACAACATTTTATTAAATAAGGATTACAAGCCTCTTGGAGTGGAAACTTATGAACAGCTTATTCAAACAAATTGGTTACACCCTCCCAGGGCCACCAGCCAGTTTTCCCTCACTGGAAATACAGCAGCAATCACCCAAACCTCTCTAGTTTGTAACCATCCCGTTCCTCTCCTTTAAACTGCTGGACATAGTTCCCTCTACATCGGGAATGCCGCGAAGCCGGGAATTGCAAAACCCTCGCATCAGATAAGGGAGAAATGTAAATGTTATGGTTCAATCTGCCTTTAGGTATCCATTTATTTCCATTTTTGCCTTTTATTCCCATGTTTACTTCTATTGCTAAAGGAAAAATTTAGTTAGAAACTGCACAATAAAACATTTTTGGTGAAGAGAAGATATAAATCATGGGATACCACAATATCCTTTCAACTTAGTTGCACATGTAGCAACAGAGAAAATAGTGCTTTTCTCTTATTTAAGATCAGGTTTAAGCAGTTTGGTTCAATGAGAGTTCAGGCATCCCAAACGGGGTTATGGCATTTTCATGCAAGCATGCTCCCAAAATTCCCCTTGTCTCTCCTGTAAAGTTCACAGCTCTCTGGTGAAGCACCAGCTCAACGCACGCAGTTTAGATCACCCAGGCAAATCCAAAGTTCACAGACAAAATCTTTCAGGGTTTTAGAAATTCCCAGTTCCAGTTTTGGTCGATCTGTCCTTGATCTTGATAATTTTAAAGCTTATTTTGACAATTTTCTAGACTTCTAAAACCATGAGATACAGAGGCCTGAAGTGCTGCCAGGTTTGGTTGGGGTTTTTTTCTACCTCAAATTAGGTTTCTCTAAAAATACACTCCAACTTCTCACACATTTAGCTGCAGTTGAAGAAAACAGAAGCAATTCATTTCCTCTAACAATTATATTTTACACTTCACTTTTGGGGTGCTGCAAATTATTTATTATTTCAAATCAGTCCTATTACAGCCATATTCCCACAGGATGCTCTTGCTGCAATAAGTGACATTTGCCAGAGTTTAAGCATGAGATGTTTTTGTAAACCAGCCTTTCCTCATGCCATTGCATGCTTGCTTTTAGTTGCTTGTTTTTTATGGGTTTTTTTTCCAGGTCTTCCTTTAATCCTGAGCATTGCCCAAAGGACACGTTCTGGCTCCTGCTGGGCTCCGTGACAGCGCAGAGAGCACAGCAGCAGGCACACACAGCAAGCTGGGGAAGTCCATGGCACCACAGAACCTAAAGAATCTCTTCCTCATCCCTAATCCAAACCTGCCCTCTGGCACTTGGAAGCCGTTCCCTCTTGGGGAACTCAACTGAAGTGTTTTACATAGCAACCAATGGGACAGGATGCACTTGGGAGCTCCAGTGGGGAACAGAGCAGTGACCTTTTTTAGCCCTTTTTTCACCCTGAAGCCTCAGAGCATCCTCCCCCCATCTGGTGGGGCATCAGTCCTTACATGTTTTGGGAAGGGTACAGGATTTGTCCCTGTGGGCAGCTCAGAGGAAGAATACTTCAGGGAGGGCACTGGAGAGGAGCCCAGCTCAAGCTTGCAGATTTTGTCAGGGTTACCTTGTATGGGAATGGGAACTGCTTTTTTCCTCTAGCTGGGCAAATTCCCATCATTTCCCTTTTAGGGGCATCTCCAAAGCCCAGCAGTCAAACTGCCCCACTGCAGGCGTTTTTCCCTGAATCCAGAGAATCCACTGTCCCCAAGCTAAGGGCCAGAGGACATTCCTTGGGATCAACACCATGTCCTTTTGGCACAGTGGTATTTCTCAGGAGCAGCAGCCGTGTTCTTGGAGCTGCATCTCCTGAGAAACAGAGTTGTTTAAAGAACTCCACGTAGCTCTCTTGACAAACCACACTTGGCTGAGAGATCCCTGTCAGCCTCTCCTCCCTCAGCCCTTACCAAACCCTGCGTGAGAGCCATGCCTGCCATCCCCTCGCTGACACAACGTGTTTTGTCAGCTGTACAAGAGGGCTGGAGGGAAAGGGACATGCGGCCAAAATGGATCTGGGATCTGCCTGCCATGCCAGGCTGCCTGGGCACACTTGCAGCACTGAGTCCCCCAGCCATGCCACTCTTGAGGGGAATCCAGGCCAGGTCAGCCCAGGCCACGCTGTCCCACGTGAATATTGTCCTCTCCACGACTCTGGAGTGACATTAATTTTCATATCTCAAAATCAGCCTCATCTTTCGATCACCACATAGGTAACAGGTGGGTACAAAGTCCCACTGCTTTTGTGGCTGAGCACAAAACATAGCAAATGGCCAAATCCCTCCTTCCAGACACAGCCACGTCTGATGGGCAGAAGAAACCCAAATCTCAGTGCTCAGCACCACAAAGAGAAAAAGCACAGTAGCAACCTGTTAAGAGCCAAAGGAACACAAGTGTTGCTGCCTCTCCAGTGGGAATGACAGAGCTGCCAGGAACTGGGCTAAAACAGGGGGATAAAACAGCTTTGCAGGCAGCACTCCTGTGCTCCGTTTGGCAAAGCAAACGGCGCAGTCACGTCGCAGGTGATGGTGAAACCCTCCCTGCGTCAGCACGGCCTGGAGAGGGGTCTGAGTGCAGCTGCACAGGGCAAACACAAAAACTTCAGCCTGAGCAACTGTCAGTGACAGCTCTCAAAAGACCCGGCCAAGAACACAGTCGGGTTCTCAGCCTGGTTTTCAGCCATTCATGGAAAAGCCAGGCATTGCAATGCTGCTGTGAGGTGAAAACAGGAATTTAAACTACCCATTAAATGCAGTATGGAATAAGCAGGAATATAAACACAAATGTCAATAAAAAAATGCTATGGATCTGTTCATAATCAATTAAGGTTGCAAAAAACCTCAGCTATTTCTTGCTGAGCAGCTGGATGGTGCACAGGACTTGGAGCCAGTGTACTCGAGGTGGGTCCTGTTGACACGGGGATCACGTTGGTTTGCAGGCACAGCACGAAGTCAGGGTGGCAAACAAATGCCTTGGCATGGAGGAACAGTGACTCTGCTGATGGACAAGCAAGAGAAAAAGATCCCATAGCATCAGAAGGGTTCTATTGAAAAGTGTTTAGAGAACAACCTTTTGCTCTTTAGTGGCTAAGATTATTCATCGAATTTGGCAAATATTTTTAGTCAAAGAGGTTGAAATTGGAATGGTCAAGGATGAGAAAAAAACACCTAAGTCAAAATGTCATGTGTTGATCTTTTCAAAATGGAAATGTTTTCTCCTGAGCTGACACTTTTGTTTCAAAACAGAACTATAGCTAAAAGCATTAGCCAGTAGGAAAATGAAATAAAACATTATGTTTTGGATCAAATGAAACATTTCAGTTAATCCAAAACAATTTTCCTCCCAATTTTTCAGTCTCTACTGAACAGAAAATCCATTCTTTGGAAAATTGCCACATACACTGATGAACTACAACTAAAATGCCAGGGAATATACTTGAAGGAAGACCTAGAAAAACTGGGACAACTGCCAAGGTGCATGAAATTGTTTCAAGGACAAGAGAGCTTTCTCTGTAAGGAAGGACTCAGACAAATGTCAGAGAAAACTGAGGAGCAACCTTATTACAGCCTGCAGAGACATTTTTAAATATTCATTTATTATTTTCAAGTCTAGCTAGCAGGAATGCACGTAAATCCAACACCTGGATTTGAGGCTGTGCAAGGTTTGACCATGACTGCAGTTTATGCTGCTCAGAGTGGGCTCACCTAACCTTTGGAATAACTTCCACTGTGCTGGCTGGCCTGGCACCAGCAACTCTTAAAATGACAATTGGATGTTTTTCCTAGAAAAGATTCTTTGCTCACAGAAAAGAACTGCCCATGAAGGGGTGTTTCAGGTGAGCTGACGGACCCTGCCCTGTTCTGGGAAGGTGCACACCCTCTCCACCAGCTTGGCTGCTGTGGGACAGCATCCCTCAGGAAGCAGCAGCCCCCAAACCCTGACAAGCCCCAGAGCAAGAAGCTGTGAGGGCAGGGAGTTCTAAGGGACACCGTGACACGCCCTTGTCCCCAGAGGGGACATTTCCCTACAGCACAGGGGCAAACCTGCCGGGAGAGCAGAGCAGCTCCAAGGAAGACAACTCCTCAAGCACTGTTCTCAAAGCCCGGGAGCTCAGGGAAGGAGCTGCCGTTCTCTCCTCGCCAGCCTGCTCTGCAGGGCAGCGTGCTGTGAGCCAGGATTAGCCCTGGGGGTTCAAGGCAGACTCGTGGCACACAGAGAGGCTCCCCTGGGAGCTGCTCTGCCCCACCACGAGCCAGGGCTCTGGCTGGGAAGGGGCAGCACTCCGGCCACGCTGTGCCTCTCAAGGATCATGGCCACGGCAGAGGCACCACCCCAAAGAGCACTTCCTGCACACCTGAGCCAAGAAAAGCCAGGCTTATGGAGCACGCCAGGCTTTGCAGAAGCCACAGACTTCCTTGGCTTTGCAAACCGGTGCAGCTGAAGCAGAATTAAAGTAACCAACAGTTTGCTCACTTAAACTCTGTGCTGCCTCTGGAACAGAAGCTGGATGTGGCAAACCCCCTGATCCCGAGTGTCCTAAGTTTAAGAGAACCCTTAAACCAAATGTGTACTTTACACCTAATTCCTGTCATCTTATAAGGTCAAACCAAAAGCTTGGCACTGAGTGCCCCTCTCCTCCTCTAACAGCACAAAACCAAAGCCGTTTTTTTTTCTCCCCCAAATGCCAATGCAATACAGACGGTGTGATTTTAATACTGCCCATCCTTTGAAAGCAATGAAAAATTCACCAGCTCCAATGGATAAGTTCACTGGACCACACATCGCAAATGATGCCAGTACACCGAGCTGTGCCAGCTTGAAAACCCAGCAACATCAAATGCAATAATCATGTGTTAAAGTTTGCAAATGTGGTACCCAGCCTTATTTTTGCACACCGTTGAGGATTTATGCCTTAAAATGTGGCCAGGCTGCAGCATCAGTGGGAAGCTTTGCTAAGAAACATCCTGAATTTTGTGTTGCAAGTCTCGCTCCCACCATTGCATTAATGTTTGCACTTAATGTTCCAGAGCTTCCCCCCTGCGCGACCCGGCCCAGAAGCGACCCGCGGGAGCTGCCAAAGGCTGGGACAGCAGCAGGCCCTTCCCAAAGCCATCCGAGGTGCTGGAGTGCCATCGCGTGGGGAGTTCCGGCACCTACAGACAGGGAAAACAGCGTCGGCTCCCTCGTAAAGCTCTGGGGAGGGGAAAGCGCGGCCCCGCGCATGCTGTGGAATGGGAGAGGTGTGTTTTCTGCGGTGGCGCTGCAGCTGTGCTGCAGCACATCGCAGCGGTGAGAGCTGAGAGCAGCTCCCACTGCAGGGCTGGGAACTCGACTGGCTTCACACCAGGATCTGCTGCACTGGCCACGGACACGCTGTCAGATGAACAACCCAGCCGTGCACAGGATCATTTCTTTTTTAAATATCACCTATTTAGGTTTTTTACCCTCTTCCTTTCAGCACGGGAGCACTGAAATACACAGCCCACACCTCTTATTCAGATTTGGTGCCATTCTGCAGCTGGAGTTAAAGGAGCAGGAGACAGTTCCCCATCTGAATTGTGCTTGATATCCTTTTGAGCTGCAGCCTTTGTGCTGGCGACATCTTTGTGCAGCTTCTAGCCCGGAGGGGCCCTTAGCTCACTGCCTCCCTGGGATGCTCTCAAAGAGCTCTCTTCCAAGCCAGGTTTTTTGCCAGGCAAACAAAGGCCTCGAGAAGTTGGATGAATTTCTAGAATCGATTATCTAATAGGAAGAATGTTGCTGTGACAATGTTTACAGTTACACAGAATGTACGGATATAGGAAGATAGATGTTTTCTATTTTATATATAACTAATTATTCCCCTCTTGCATCCTTCATTTCCCCCACCCCGTTTCACGGAGAGGGAAACCACACTCAGACGAGTGAAACGGCAAAAAAGAAAGGCAAGAATCAAGCCGGCTAGAAAAGCAAGAATCAAGGAGCCCGGCCGGGATGGCCGGCAGGCCCGCCCCGTCCCTCCCCGCTCACCTCGGGCTGTCGCCGTCTCTCCGTGCGGGTGAGCCATGCGCTGCATGGCGGTGGCGGCCACGCACACGGGCACGGCGACCCTCTGCCCCAGGACACGGCTGGACAGGTCCATCACCGACACGTCCCTGAGCACCCGCGGGTACAGCTTCCACCTGGCACACACAAATACACCGCGTTTCAAAGGGCTGCGGCGCGGGGAATCCGCAGCTCCCGGTGGGAGAGGGCAGGCTGTCCTGCTGTCGGTGGGCTGGAACAGAATCCCACCGTGCCGTCCGGAGCTGCGGCAGAACCCCTGCAGGGACCAAAGAGCAGCGAGGTGAAAGAGGCAAAGACCCCTTGAGCACTTCTGGCTGGGATTGTTTGAAAGGAAAGAGAGGAGCTGTAAAGGAAAGGTTCGTGGTGAGCCTCAGCCCCTGAAAGCCTCGGGGCAGAGCTGGGTGCCAGACGCTGTGTGCAGATGGGGAAAGTCACCAGCCAGCCTCCGTTATCCCTTCCACGGACTAGGGAACCAACAGACACGGGATTATTGGCAACACAAGCCTGGCCTGCAGGCTTGGAACTCCCTTTTCCAAACCAGAGCAAACTAAACCACACTTAACCTGAAATTACAGTTTGCTGCAGCCAGGCTGGACACCACATATCTGCACACACAGGAATTTACCTTTTTTTGGTCCCACACAGGAAAACAGCATTAGAAGACCATGATCCCTGTTACAGGATCAACTAGACACCATAATATCCAGAGTTTTATGAGGAGGACTGCATTCCTGGGGATACCTGTGCCATGGGACTTGCCCCATCATCCAGGTGCTGTCACAGCACTGCCACCACTAGAAGCCACAAGAGGGGGTGCAACACCTGGGGCTGCCTCTGGCGGGCTCAGCCAGGCCAAAGCCTCCCTGGATCTCTCACCGAGGCCTCCCTCCCTCCAAAAGGGTTCCCATGGCTCCTGGATTGTAATGACAGAGAAGAATTAAAATATATATGGTCTAGACAGCTGAACTTGAGCAACTGCTCAGCACCAGAATGCTCAAGACTGATAATATTATAATTACCAGCAGAGAGAGAGAACCAGAGCCACTGCTACTCTCCAACAGGGAGTAGAGGTGAGCTTGAGCATTAAAATGAAAATTCAGGGGGAAAAAGACAAAATCTATTTTATAGAAAGATCAAGAGACATTTCCCCAAAAAGCCTGGGGCAGAGCCAGGATGAGACCCACCTTTCTGAAGGCCTGGGGCTTGGGGCTGTGCCAGCTCTCCAGGCAGTGCTCCCCAGGGAGGAGAAGGACAGTTATGATGCTTGGAAGGAGATGTGTGACTGTGCAAGTCAGCTGTGCTGCTCAGTGCCAAGACACACACGGCAGGAACATCTCCTCACACTTGTTTTCATGCCATTGTAGCAGTTTGTTATTTTTCAGGGGAGGATGGGTGAGGGTGGGACAAAGACAACATGACTTCTTTCTCCCCCTTTTTTTCCTAATCCTCATTCCGAAGGCTTCCACTCTGCCCTGAGGTATCTTCTCCCAGAATGCTCAAGACTGATAATATTATAATTACCAGCAGAGAGAGAGAACCAGAGCCACTGCTACTCTCCAACAGGGAGTAGAGGTGAGCTTGAGCATTAAAATGAAAATTCAGGGGGAAAAAGACAAAATCTATTTTATATAAAGATCAAGAGACATTTCCCCAAAAAGCCTGGGGCAGAGCCAGGATGAGACCCACCTTTCTGAAGGCCTGGGGCTTGGGGCTGTGCCAGCTCTCCAGGCAGTGCTCCCCAGGGAGGAGAAGGACAGTTATGATGCTTGGAAGGAGATGTGTGGCTGTGCAAGTCAGCTGTGCTGCTCAGTGCCAAGACACACACGGCAGGAACATCTCCTCACACTTGTTTTCATGCCATTGTAGCAGTTTGTTATTTTTCAGGGGAGGATGGGACAAAGAAAACATGACTTCTTTCTCCCCCTTTTTTTCCTAATCCTCATTCCGAAGGCTTCCACTCTGCCCTGAGGTATCTTCTCCCAGCAAAGAAAGAAAACAAAAACCTGTTTGTAACCTTGCTCATTTGTACAGTCAAGCCCAACAGCATGAAGGATGTGAAGCATCTCCCTCTTCCCCGGGCTCCTGGTTTCTCAGATGGTTCCTGCCACTGCCATCTCACAGCCGGCCTGTGAGGGTCAGTCCCTAGGTGAAAGATCCCTGTGGTGCTTTTGGCTGGGAAGAGAAACAGGAGGAGCCAAAATCCTCCCAGCAGTGCATGCAAGAAAAGTGATGCAATCCTGAGCAGAGATCCCTGCTCACATCCTCTCAACCAACACCCAGTCAGTGCTCCTGACCCAGAACTGAGCATTCCCACAAAAACACCAAGCACATTCACTACCTGGGTATCATAATCCTTCAGTAAAACCTGCTCTTGGCTTTGGAAACTCGGGTGTTTCCAGCTCTGAGTTTGACAGACACTTGAAACCAGGCATTGTCTGGACAGGGAAATGCCCTTCACAGCAGCAAGGAAACCTCCCAGGCAGCATTTCCCCACCACCAGGGCACACAGTCATTCGGCTGCACACAGCACCTGCTTCCTCCAAGTCCTTCAGTGAAACATTTCCTGTATATTTTGGAAAAAAACTTGGATTTTTTTTTTTTTTAATTCATCATCTCCCCATCACCCACATCTTTTTCCAGCCAAGTCCACAGTCGTGTGCTGCAATCAGCAAGTGAGAGTGAATGCATCCTTCTTCCCAGCCGGAAGCGGGAGGTGCCACAGCGGGGAAGGCAGCGAGGGCTCCCGATTTAGGCAGCTCCAGCTAAAAGCTGTTTTGAAGGAAGGATTAAAGGGAAGGAAGGGGGATTAATCTTTTGGGTTCTTTCCTTTTTTCTCCAGGCTCAAAAAATTTTCGGTTTGTAAATTACCTTGCAGTGGGGTAAGAGAGAAGCACTGGCTGCTTTCAGCTGGGAAATATATTGACATTTTCAAACTGCACCGTATTTTCAAGCAGCTCCTCTTGTTCCTCTCCCAAGTTGTCCCAAATCCCCTCGTGCTGCAGGGCAAGAAGGACATTTGGGAAAAGACACACTGCTCAGGCCAAGCCTCCATCCTAAACCCAGCCCAGTTTGCTGCCCTTCTGTCTCCTACAGCTCCACTTCCCTTCAGGGGCTGGTGCTGTGCCAGGCTAAGCAACAGCTGCTTTTCCTTGGGGAAAGTTATCTTCCCTCCCAGCATGTTTTGCTATCCACACTCTTTTTGTGGTGCACTGGGAATCTGAGGTGAAAGACATCACAACAACAAAACTAAATTATTATTCCAAGCTTTCCTTTCCTTTTCTCCCCCTGAACTTCCCAGACTTGTCTGACCCAGTCCACCATCAGCCTTGCTTTTCTGACCAGTGTTTAAATTACTTCCGTGGCCATTTTAATGCCTTTAATTGCTACAAGGTAACAGCACGTTTGCAGACAGCCTGCATTGATGCTGGCACTGCTGAAGCAGCAGCTGCTGTTCCCTGCACAGGACAGAACAAGGCAGCTTCTCCCAAGGCCTCCGGGAATTCCGCGGCAGGGTGGATCAGCAGGAGCCTGCTCCACATCCCCCCTGCCTGGCATGCCAAGAGGGGAGGCTCCAGACTGATTTCCTGAATGCCATCGAGCTAAAGGCAGCCCGACCTTGTCACAAAAATCTCCATTCAGGCCCCTCGCTCCTGTGGCAGCTCGAGAGGGGATTCCAGCTCCAGACAGTCCTGAGAGGACACTGGGCATTCCAGGCTGCAGAGCAAACTCAAGGAGAAGGCAGGCAGGCACCACAGGCAATGACACATGCTCTGCCATCCCAAATCATCCTTTCTGGCCTTAATGCCTCACTTCTGCCCGGGCCATTTGAGAACTATGGATAAGAAATACCTGTCTGGCCTCAGCAGCAACACACCGATGTCAACATCCGAGCGCAGGTTCTTCCCTCAGTCCCAGAAGAGCTGGCAGCTGGGGGAGAGTTGCTGTACCTGGTGTTAAACTCACCTTAAACACTGTCCTTGTGGAGGCAGTTTGCACTCTGGTATCTGATTACACAAAGCACCTCAAGGTCAAAAGGCCAAGACATTCCTTTTATAATCCAATGAGTATGAATTGTGCTGCTCCAAAAATTGCATGGAGTATTCCAAAGATAATGCAGGATCCAGCAACACAACCACCCATTAGGGACTGTTCTTAATGACAGTAGTAATACTAGTCCTTAATAAGATCATTATTTCTCCAGAAATGAAAACATTTGTTGGCCAAAAAATTTAGAAAGAACTCGCAGATGAGCCCAGCACTGGTTTTCCACCCTCACACCTCACCTGAATAATCCTGCACCATAAAGGTACAGGCTAGCCATTCCTGCTTCTGGTTCAGTTTTGTGCTTTCTCTTCTATTTAAATTTATAAATATCTCATAATCTGCAAACTTTCTAAATCAGACTGAACCCTGCAACTAAGCTTCTGACAGGGGAAATCAATGCAAACAAAGCTGAACATACTCCTATCTTTCACAAAATTATCTGACTTGGTGATCTTTGTGCCTCGGGGGTGTAAAGTCCATCTGACTTTATATTTACCCACAAGCTGCAGTCAGGAACAGGCAGGAACACCAGGACTGTGTGAGGGTCAGGGTGAGAAGCACTGCCCCATCTGTAACAGCTGGGCCATGCTTCTCCCAACAGCATCCAAGGGAAAAAGAAGGGTTTTTCCAAGTTCTTTGTGTCAAATAGGCCTTACAAACCAAAATATTGCCAAGTCCTTATAGCAGGTTCTACCTTTTAGAGATGTATTCCCAGAAAGCCATTGCAAACACGGTCTAAGGACTGTTCATGGCAGCATCCCACGTGCTGAGAAAACGGGATCTCGTTTTATGTCAGATAAATACAAAGGGAGGGAGAGCAAAGACACAAACACCTCCCAGCCCCTCCATCCTCACTCTGCTGAGGAGCAGGGACCCAGCACTGAGGGATTTTCAGCCACACCAAATGCCACTGAATTCTTTTAACGTCTCAGGCATTGCTAATGAACATCTCCTTCAGTCCCAGGCTGCCTGCAAACGCCACAGTTTCAAACACCTAAACCTGGAGGGTTTTCTTGAAAATCTGATAGAAGATTCAGGAAAGATGAGGTAAGCCTGAAGCCCAGAGACAACCAGCAACCAGCTCGATGTAAGGAGGTCTCTTATCAGAGGAATCCATCCCTGTGGCAGGAACAGCTTCAGAGCAGAGCTGCCCTTATCTCCCCTGCTCTGCTGATGCCAGCGCAGCAAGGGACGAGCCCAGCTCTTTGTTGGCCTGTCCCTGGCAGGTTTAGATCCCACCTCATCACTATCAGCTTCAGCAGTTACAAGTCAAATGTTCACTGCTCCTGCAGTTTATTGCCTGCAAGTGCTTCCTTGGAGTGTCCTTCCCTTAATGTCTCATTTTGCTTTTATGAGGGCAAGTAGCATCAGAGCACCTGGAAGCATTAAAAAGGTACAATAAAAATCAGGTGAGTGCTACTGCATCCCCTTCTGCTCCTGTTACACTCCTCAGGGCAATCTTTTGGCTTGTGTTTGAGCAGGTGAATTTCTGTGATGGCAGCTTTTGCATGGAGCTAGGAGGTCTGGAATAAGCAGTGGAGGTGAGTTGTCTTCTTTTGACATCATAAAGCTTTTCTATGTGTGACCTTAAGGTTCTGACCTCTGAGATCCTGCTAAATGAATTATCACAGAGTCTTCTACAACCTTCAACTTGCATCAGATTCCCAGCTGAATGGCCCATAGCCTATGGAAAAGCAACTGGAGCAGTGAGTAGGACTGCAGGAAAGCAAAGCAGGGAGGGAGAAAGAGCAAGGATAAAGCAGGACAATCATGGTTTGGTTTGTTAGGCTCAGAGGAACTGAAGACAAAGCCTTTGCAAAGACAAGTGCAGGGGGTTAAACGTCTGCACCAACACAGCCCAGAAGGAAGGAGATGTCAGCAGCTGTTTGAGCAGCTTGACTGGGCTCAGCTGGGCTGAGGGGAGCTGCCTCCAGCTGCCTCCTTCCCTCTGCCCTGCTCAGGGACATTCGGGAGGAGGGAGCCAACTGATGCGATGCCATTTGTGACACTTCCACTGAATCCCACAGCACGTGCCCCTGACTTTGTGCTGACCTTGTGCTTCTGAGGCTAAGGCTGACCTGAGCCCAGGTTTCTACAACAGTTCAGGGGATCAGTCCAAGTCAAAACTGGTTTAGAACAGCTGCCAGCATTCACAGTATCTCCTGGCGAAGGGCTGACCTCCTAGAAACCCCTGAGCACAGCTGGGCCACCCAGGACTGAGCCCCGGCTTTCCCAGCTCGCCCCAGAGCTGGGAAATGCAACTCCTTCCTGCAGCTCTCACTGGGAAGGCCACAGCACTAATTCAGTTTAGGAGAACTAAGGAAAAACCACAACTGACTAAGGACCTAAAAAGTACAATGCCACCCCAAGAACCCCTTGCTGGCACTGTAACCCAAGATGTAGAAATGACAGTTTCATTGGCTGATTAAATACTGGAGCTGAAAGACTCTGGAGAGAATTTCTGCTAACAAAAGAACCCAAATGAAGGCAAAACTAAAAAGGTGCTAATGGATTTTAGGGACTGCTTTTTGACAGAAATTGTTAGGTGGAGGAGTGAAAGGGGAGAGAGTTGTCCTGAAAAATCAGCTGAGAGTCTTTTTCCTAAAATAGAAAGACATTGCAGAGAAATTGAGTTTTGTTCACAGAGAAAAATCTAAAATTGCACCACATCTACCAATAAAGCAGAACTTACACCCCCTGCCTCCCACCCCAGCCTTCAATCATCCTCCTACCTGGAAAACGCTGCGACATTATCTGCCAGGGTTTGCTGGTCATCCGCCCCAGATCGGTAATAATCGTACACGGACTTGGGCAGAAAGGTTTTAGCATACTCCTCAAAATCTGCAATGCACACTGGCTTGTCAGACATGTCTGCAGATCTCACTAGCTTAGTTTATTCCCACTGCTTTAAACTCTGGAGTTTTGCCTGTAAATCATTAATACGGGACCTCATCAGGAGTCACCTTGTCTACATTCCCCCCCACCCCGCCAAAAAAAAAAAATAAATAAATACACCAACTTCTTGTGTCATATTGGACTTCAGCACCATCTTTTAGTTCATGTGGTCAAGGCCAACCTAAAACATAACAGAATAAAATATGGTAAAAAGGAAGAAAATGAGTAAGCAAGGAAAGAAATACGTAGTTAAACCTCCAGTAACAGGAATGTACGTTCCCCTCTGTCATCCAAAATATCCAGGAGACTGAAAACAGAAAGAGTGTGCTCACACCCAAAAAGCAAACTCTTGATTTAGATGATTTCTAAAAGCAGGTCTCAGCCTGCACATTTAGGGTAACACCTAACACAGGTGAGATTGCAGTTATTCCCATTAGAATCCTGGATTCCAAGGCCAGTTGCAGAGACCCAGCTGCCAGACATCCTTGGGCAAATGGCTCCTGATTTTCAGGTAATTCCATCTCCATAACCCAGAGGGCTCTTGTTATTCCTAAGGAGTCAGATGCACTCACTGGCTGGAAATAAAATCATCTTATCAAAGACACACCCTCATCCAAAGTGTAACAAACTTGGTTAACATTTCTTGTTTTCTCCTTGTTTTAAATTTTAAAAAACATGCAGAGTTTGGAATGGGTTTACAGTAATTGTTTGACAAGGAAATTAAGAATATATTATGTGTATATATTCATTTTCTCAGCTGCAGACTGCACATTAATATCAATTTACACACAATTACACCACGAGGCATTTGTCACATATCAGTGTCAGAAACAATTCAAATGCAAACTGCTTTAACCTTGGCATTTCACTGCGCTTGCAGCAAAAAACCGGGGACACGTCTGCTTGCATTTATTTAAAATTTGCATCATCTGTGCTAAAAACAGGTATTTATCCTGGAGCATGAGAAAGCAAGTGCTGCATGATAGCTGAACATTCTAATATGTGCAGCTGAATTCAACCTTAATGAACTCAAAAGGTTTTTATGTTGGGAAGTTGCAAAAGTTTCTGGAGGCAACAATAGTGTGGCACCACTGTTCCCCTCTCCCCATTTCTATAATGTCTGTATTCTTCAAAACTCTTCGCACCCCGATATTTATTTTTCCACTTAGATGCTTCTCTGCCACATTCACAGGATATTGGTGATTTACTTCAATTGTCATTATTTGCCACTCGGGATGAGAGTTCCTCTTCCCTCCCCTGCAGTGAAGTTTCTCAGGCGCCATCCTTTATGGATCCTCCCACATGTGCCAGTCCCAAAGCCCCCCTGGGACCACTCCACAGAGCTCAGGGGTCCAACTGTTACTGGAGCCTCCAGCAGGATCCACCACCTCCCATGCTGGCTAGCTGCAGAGCTGGGGTGAGGTGGAAGGTGCCAGGATCAGCACAAGGGAAGCAAAACTAAGGAAAATGTGAAATTTAATGTCAGGTCTCCCCAGCACATCTGACACCAACACACACAGCTTCCCTCCAAGTAATTGGCTCCTCATTTTAATGAATTTCTCTGGATGAGACTTTCCTGGCTGCTCAATGAAGCATTGGCTGTCTGACCTTTAACCCTGGAGCCAAGGAATGGCATCTTGGCTGAACAGCCAGGAGCTTGCCCGAGCAACCACGCAAACCTCACTGCCACAGTCCATGTCAAAACCCCAGCAGGGTCAGGGTAGTGTGAACATCCCCTCCCACATCTCCTGCTTCTCCCCTGTTCCTTTAGGAGGAACTACAAACAGAGAATGGGGTCACACCTGGAGCTCAGCTGAACCAGGCTCTGCAGAGCAAACTTTTCACTGTGGTTCAGAAAGGTCAATCACAAATTCTGGAGGAAAAACCCCACAGAGGGTTACT